TGGTAGAAGTCCTCACAGCGCTCACAGTTCAGCCCCTGCGTGTGGTGCTTGCAGACACAGCGCCCGTGCACCTGCCAGGATGCCATGGTGAGGAGCTGTGGGACTGGGTGCTGCGGTCACCCCAATGCAGTACAGCACAGGGGTCTGTACTATGGCTGGACCTACCATGCCATTCACAGTGGCTGTGGCCCCGCTGAGCGGCGCACACTCTGAGGCGTGCCCGTAGCAGAAGCAGTTTCCACGCAGCACCATCTCATACAGCGCATAGTAGTACTTCTCGCGGATCTCCCGCCGTGAGTCCAGCAGGTTGTCCCCCAGCGTGTGCAGCTTGGTGAGGTTCACCCGCAGGTTGGTGACACGCAGCAGCTCTGCATAGAAAGTTGGCAGCTTGGCTCTGCTCACCCGTACCTGCTGAACACGGCTGTGCCCAGCTGCAGCGCATTGCACATGGTGCGCCATGGCTGGGGATGTACTGCTCTGTGCTCGTGGTGCTGCATGGCACATGGGGCCAGCAGGACGGCTCTCCAGGGACAGCAGCTTCCCAGCAGCAGCCACCGGGCCCCGCAGATTCCTCCCCTCCTGCTCCCAGCCTAAATTTAGCCTCAGCTGTTAACCCGCTGCATCCTGTACCGTTCATCTGCCCACCACCAGCTCCATGCTGCGGGGTTACAGCCCCTGCACCAGGCACTGGCATAGTCCCATCTCCCATTGCTTGGCATCCTATGCTGCCCCACATTCATCCACACCCCGCTGTATGGGTTTGGAAACTCCTGGATCCAGCCCCACAGTGGGCTCAGCATGAGGACACAGCAGCCAAAATAGTGGCACCCAAAATAGAGCCGCAGGGCGGCAGACGGGCGGGCGACTCACCCTGGATAGCGGGGCTGTAGGGGTCGCGGATGGGGATGGCAGGGTCCAGCACGCGGTAGATCACCTGCAGGAAGGAGGAGAGCGGTGAGGGGACAGCGGGATCCTCCAAGTGTCCCTCGGTGCTGTCGGAGCCTCACCTCCCCCTCGGTGGAGGGCTCGATGTCAGAGTAGCGCGACTCACAGATCACATCGTCAATGCGGCGCGGGGGCCCACGGGGGACGTGGGGGAAGGACGCAGCACAGTCGTAGGCGAAGTAGCGGTACGTCTTCCAGCTGCGGCCAAAGTCGGCCGAGCGCTCCACCAGCATGGCTGCGGGGCGGAAGGTCTGCGGGGCACATGGAGGGGTGGGGGCACACGGCAGGGTTGGGACACGCGGCAGGATGGCAGTCGGGATGACGGGGTCTGTGCCATCCTGCTGCGCTCACCTTAAAGGTCATGATGAGGTGGGTGAAGTGGAACTCAGCCTCCAAGTCCAGCTGGATGCTGACGTGCTCCACGCCTGGGGGGGGACACCCGTGTGACTCCAGCCTTGGCCACAGCAGCACAGGGCTGAGTCACGGCTTCCTTAGTGTGGGAGGACGGGAAGAGCAGCCCCCCAGGGACGCTCTATTGCTCACCGTTCTCCGCCTGCCACCAGGCCTTCTTGGGGCGGGGGGCAAAGGTGGTCAGCACATTTTCGATGCGGTGGCTGTCAGTATTGCTGTGGGCATCGTAGGGTCTCCGCGAGTCACAGACGAAGCATTTCTTCTCCTCCTGTGGGCGGGGGCTCAACGGTCACCCCACCCCACCACGTCCCGGTCCCCCGTCCCTCATCCCCCGTCTCACCTGGAGGTGGCTGACGATGCAGTAGGGTTGGGGCCGCCGCAGCCCGCAAGTGGACGAGGCGCTGAGCCGCGAGGCTCTCCCCACCAGCAGGTCCCCGGTGGCCGGGTAGCAGCTGCCGCGGGCGCAGCCATGGGGGGCGTCGGGAGAAGAAACGGCCCACGCGGCCCCTCCCGGCCCTGCGTGGGCAGCGGGTGGATGAGGCCGGACCCCACGCGGAGCTCCGTCCCCGTCCCGCACGGCCCCGAAGCGGGGGCCCTTCCGCGATCCGCCCGGAAATGCCCCGCGGGTCCGGACCCCAACCCGAGAGCGTTCCGCGAGCGGGGGCCGCGCACTCACCGGACGGCAGCGGGACGAGGAGGGAGAGGAAGAGGAGAAGCGGGGGGAGGAAGGCTGCGGGGCCGCGCATCGCGGCGGCGCGCGGGACTCGGGGTGCCGCCGCGTGGGGTCCGGTCTCGCGTGGGTAGGCGCGCGTTGCCGAGGGGGGGGGTTCCCTCTCGCCGCCCCTCCGCAAAGTTGTGGCGGCGCTCGGGGCTGCGCGGAACTCGCGGGGCGGTCCCTTCGCACGGCGGCCCACGCCGGGCCGGGAAGGGCCAGCACCGCCCCGCCGGAGGCCGGGGGTACCGCGGGGGGACGCGCGGGACTCGGCCACGCGTGACAGTGAGAGGCCGGACACGGGCAGGCGCTGCTCAGCGCTTTATTTGCAGGCGCTACAGACACCCCGCGGGTTTCTTCCTCGCCGCGCGGGGCCGCGTCCCGAGCGGGTCGGACTCCCTAGCAGGTGGCGTACGCGTTGGCCCGCTCGCGGATCTCCTGCAGCAGCCCCGACACCTGCCGCTCCAGCGCCTGCAGCCGCGTCGCCTTGGCCGCCATCGCCTGCTCGTTGGCCCCGAAGTGCTGCTCCAGCTCTGCGGGAAGGCACGGGGTGCAGGGTGGGCTGCGGGCACCGAGCGGGCGGCCCCTGTCCCACGCCGCCTCTTACCTTCCAGCCGCTTCTTGCTGCTGTTGGCTTTATCCAGCAGGTCCCTGGCCTCGGCCGTCAGCCGCGTCACGCGCTGCAGGGCCCCGCCGGCCATCCCTGCCATCCCGCTCACCCGGTCCTTGAGCACCACGTAGCGCCGAGTCACCTGCGCCAGGTCCTAGGGGCACACGGCACGGTGAGGCCGAGCTCCCCGCATCGCCCCCCGCCTGCTGCGAGGCCGGGGCTCACCTGGCTGAGCGTCCTCGAGGCGGCGGTGGCACGCTGCGCCCCATCCTTGGCATCCTGTGCCAGGCGCCGGGCGTCCTGTCCGCGCTGCTGCAGAGCGGTGACGCGCTCTGCCAGTTCCCGCAGCCGCCGCTGCAGCCGTGACTCCTTCCCCTGCAGCGCCTGCAGCCTGCGCTCCGCCTGGGTGCATAGGACACAGACGGTGGGTGGGCACCGTGTGCCTATCGGGTACCCGTGGCTGGCCCGCACCACGCCATAGCATTGGCTTTGCTCCCCATGTGTGCCCACTCTGTTACCCACAGGGCCCAGGGGTGTGCCAGGGTCCCCATCCCCAATATCACCTCTCACCTCCCTGGCTTTGCCCTCAGCAGCCCGGATGCCATCCTTGGCTCTCCGCAGGGTGCTCCCAGCCGCCATCACCTGTGCCCGTGCCACCTGCAGTGCGAGCTGCGTCCCTGCCAGCTCGTCCCTCATGCCCTCTGCTCGCTCCCTGTGGCGATGCAGACACCTCCAGCTCTGCTCAGGGCTCTGTTGCCCTCCCCATCCAGCTTGTCGCCACTCACCTGGCATCCTGTCCCTGTGCCAGCAGCCCCTGTGCAGCCTCCAGCCCCTGTGCCGTGCCGTTGAGCACCGCGTCCACCCCATCCAGCTGGCTGATGCTCTCCTGCATCTCCCGCAGCAGCTCCTGGATGTGTGCAGGGCTGCTGGGCAGGGAGATGTTCAGCACCTGCCGCGCCACCAGCTCGATGCTGCCTGGATCTGCACCCTCCTCTGCAGGACATCGGAGCAGGGTGGGCTCAGGGTGGGCTCCATGCCCCGCACCATGCCTGGTGCCCACACACTGCTGGCCCTACCTGACAGGAAGGCTTTGATGCGGCGGATGAAGTCCCGCAACTGTGCTGTCGCCTTCTCTGTGCGGCTGCGGGCAGCCTGTGAGCGTTCCAACGCCTCCTCTGCACGGCTGCGGGCACCCCGTGCCAGGTCCTGAACCTCCTGCATCTGGGGTGTAACCAAGGGGCACCAAGGGGCTTACAGTTGGGATGTGCAAGGGGCCGGCACTGACCCAGGAGTGGGCACAGGTGTGGTGTTCAAGTGGGCACAAAGGGCCTCGCATGAGAACCCAGCACATGGGGACGCCATGCCTACCTTCTGTGCCACGGCACTCAGCTGTCCCAGGGCCACCTCCAGCTGCTGTGAGGCATTGCCGGCACTGCTCAGGGCTTGAGCTGACACAGGCAGGGCCCCTGTGCACCCCACACCCCCGCAATGCCTCATCCCCACGCTGTCCCGGCACAGAGCTCCTCCACACAGTGATTCTGCACAGCTCCGGTCTCCAGGAGCCCCACAAATCTGCAGGGATCCAAAAGGTGTAGTTTGAATGGGCAGACCCTCATCCCAATTGGCACAAGAGCCAAGCAACCCGTGTGCCACCTGTGATATGATCACCCCGAGCCCTTTTTCCCCCGTCCCACTCTCACCTTCTCATTGATCCCGGCCACGCTGAGCCCTGACACCCGTTTCTGTGTCTCCCGCAGGGATTTCCGCTGTGCAGCCATGCTCCGGCGGAACGCATCACCCTGCTGCTGCAGGGCCTGCTCAGCTGCCCACTGCGTGGCCCGTGCTGCACTCAGCTCACCTGCCGTGCCATTGGCCACCACCTCTGCCTGCCGTGAGTCCCGTGCTGCCACCACGATGCTCTGGTATGACTCTGCGAGTACAGAGTGTCCCTCGAGTCCCACCATGTCCCCAGCATCCTGTTATGGCTCCAGGATCAGCCATATCCCTTGTGTCTTTCCATGTCCCAGGATCTCCTAAGTATCCACTGTCTCTCCATATTCGGAGTCCCAACACTTTCCCAAGGTACCTCTGTTCCTAGGACCTCCCCCCCCACAACCCCAGAGTCCTACCACGCACTCAGAATTAGGGCACAGTTCTCCCAGTCCCAGCTACATATCCAGCACTGGGGCACGGCTCTCCCAGCCCCCATGCCCCCAGACGCCCTCACTGGATGCCCTTACCCCTGAATCCTGCTGCTGTCACGGTGCCGAAGACAGCTTGCAGGCGGGAGGTGGTTTGGTTGAGCCCACCCAACTCATGGCTCAGCCTGGCCAGCCGGCTGCGGTGCAGCACATCAGCCTGCTCCAGCTGATCCACGTGTTGCTCCAGCTCTTGAAGCCTCTTCCAGAAGTTGTCCAGCTCTGTCCTATGGGGCAGAGAGCTCTCAAATACCTCTGGATGCCTAAAGCCCCCCCCCCAGCCCACCGTGTGCACTTGCCTGCTGCCATCCAGCTGCCCGGCCAGCTCCTGCAGGAGGGGGCTACTGGGGCTGCTCCCCTCACCCAGCAGCCGCTCTGCATGCTTCAGGGCCTCCTCCAGTGCTCGCAGGCGGGGGCTGAGCGAGGCTGCAGACCCTCCCTCACGCAGCGCCCGTACCCGTGCCCCAAGGTGCTGCAGCCCATCCTGCAGGCTGCCCAGCACTGCGTCCCAGTGCCCAAAGCAGGGGTGGCATGGAGAGCAGCGAGGGAAGGCGGCCTGGTAGCCCCGCTGGCAGCGGTCGCAGCGCAGCCCCCCAAAGCCTGGCCGGCACTGGCACTGCCCACTGGCTCGGTCGCACTGCGGGCTCTCAGCACCCAGTGGCTCACACTCGCAGGCTGTGGAGATGGGCACTGTCACTGCCTGAACTCTCCAGAGGCCTCTGTGTTCTCAGAGTGGCACTGTGTCTCCTGGGTCACCCGTGGTTCCAGGGTCCCATCACATACCTGGAGACTCACTGTGTCCCTATCCCATGTCCCCAGCATCATGCTGTGGCACATGGTTCATCCCTATCACCAGGGTCCCACCACATCCTCAGGAGCTCGTTATGTCCCCGAGGTCCTTCACATCCACAGGATTCTCTCCATGTTCCCAGGAATCCCCAGGTAGCCAAAATCTCATCCTATGTCCCCAGGACCCCCTGTGTCCCCAAGACTCCCCCTTCCCCAAGGTTCCCATATTTCCAGGAGCCCCCATGTACCCCAAAGCACAGCCTTTGTCCCAACGGCACCCTGTATCCCTAAGACCCCTCTTTTCTCAGGGTTCCCATGTCCCCATACACCCCACTGCCAGTCCGTGGGTAAAGCTCTCACCTCGGCACTGCAGCTCGGGGTCTCCCCAGTGATTCTCCTGGCACTGGGAACAGACACGGCCACCAAAGCCGAGGTGGCAGTGGCACTGCCCTGTGACCTGCAGCGAGAGCAGGGTGCTCAGCCCACTCATTCTCACCACCAGAGGACACAGGACCCATACTGGGATGCTCACCTCATCGCAAGCGGGGTGCGTGGCGTGCATGGCATGGCATCCACAAGGCTGGCAGCCCTCCATCCCCCCCAGGTTCCAGAAGTTGGGTGCACAGCGGTCGCAGCTCCTGCCCACCACATTGGCTCTGCAGGCGCAGGCTCCCGTAGCGCGGTCACAGCTGCAGGTGCCAGCGGTGCAGTGGGCAGACAGCGTTCCCCGCGGGTCACAGCTGCAGCCTACGGGTGGTGGGCAGCCATGTGGGGCAGGGGGCTCAGCCTCACGCCACCCCAAGACCTCGCAGGCCCACAGCCCCTGGCCCAACTCACGGCGACAGCTGCGCTGCAGGGCATTGCCGAAATAGCCGGGCTGGCACTGGGCACAGCGGGGCCCAGCAGTGTGGTACAGGCAGCGGCGGCAGTGCCCTGTGTGCGGGTCACAGGCCCCCGGGTCGCTGGTGTCGATGTTGTTGTTGCACTGGCAGGGCCGGCACACTCCTCCCTCCATCTCCGGCGTCCCAAAGTAGCCCGGGGAGCAGCGGTCGCAGCGGGGCCCTGTGGGGACGTGCGGTGTGGCTGATGGAATCTCAGCCCTCTTGCTGGGGTGCTGCAGCATGGTGCCTGCCTGCCCCTCACCGGTGTATCCGGGCGCGCAGAGGCACACGATGTGGTGGGTCTCCTTGTCGGCATGGCAGGCGCTCCCATGGTAGTGCCGTGTGCCGGGGTAGCCAGGGCAGGGACAAGGGCGGCACTGCTGCCCTGAGCCCAGCACCGGGTCTCCATAATAACCGTCTTGGCATCTGCAAGGGCAGGAGTGAGGTCTCAGGTGTCCATCCCATCTATTTCATCAAATCCCATCCCATCCCATTAATCCTAACCTGTCCCATCCAGTTCCACCATCCCGTTTTATTCCATCTCATCCCGTCTTTTCTTATGCCATCCTCATCCTATCCCATCCCAAGCTACCCTACCGTACCCTACACCATCTCATCTCATCTCATCCCATCCCATCTCATACAATCTAAACCTGTTCAATCCCATTCATCCCGTCCTACCCCACCTCATCAGTGCTGTAAGTAT